CCTCTCCCTTCTCATGCATAAAAGTAAATGACACCTTGGCCACCCAGCAAGCCACTCCTCTCCTCTTATTTCATTTATTTCTTCATGTATGTTGAGTTTTGGGTTGTTGTTTTACAGTTATTTTTCTGAATTCTGGACCCTTAAAAAAACCACAGTTGGTAAAAAAGCACAAGCTTAAAACAGCTTGTATTAACTTCCTACACCATCCTTTGGGTTGTTCTCATATATATATTCTCATATATTACAAAAATATATTCATTGTCATATTTTTCTTAGTTATTTATATAATATATTTAATTCATAAATTATGAACAAGTCATCTTTGATAGGTAGAAACAGACAACTTCCACCAACTGAAAGGACAGAAAGATTGGTTCAGAATAAGGTTTTAAAAAAAGAGAAGCTGACTAACTTACAATGTGTATTCTTCACAGTCAGAAGAAAATTGAAAATCCACATGAAAGACACCTGGAAAGATTCTACTATAATTTTTTTCTACCTGACAACATAATTTCAAATGCATGTAAAGATATTAAAAATTTGAAGGAGAACTTGTTTGAATATGATTAGAGGAAAGGACTTCAGCATGAGGCCAACAGATATAAAAGTACAATTGAAATCTGGTCATGAAAATCCCTCAGGCTGGAGGAAATGTGAGGAGAAGCCCTGCTCTGTCAGGAGCACAGGAATTCCCAGCACTCACTCCTCAGCCCTGCCCTGCAAGCACTGCCCACACTCCCCCACTCCACCTGCTGCTCTCACCAACTTAAATGGATTGTCTGCACTCTCCAAGAGATAATCACCTCCATAAATCAAGACAAATAAATTCCCACATAGTAGTTATATACATTTTATAATGCCAAATCTCTTACAGACACAGGTTGGAAGGAGGATTTTTTTGTGGGAAATGAGGGTTTTCAGACAAAACAATTTAGAAACGAAAACAAAGGTAAGGATACAAACCAAATCCAAATCCTCAGTGATTCAGTTCTTCAAGTGTTTGGGATCTTGATTTTAAAAAGATATAAACATTAAATAAAAACATAAAAATGCTTGAAACTTTTAAAACATCTACGTGGTCTAGTTGTCACTATTTACTATCCCACCCTCTCCCATTGTGCAAACACTAATTGCCTTGGCAGTGTGTTTGGGACACAACACTAGAAGGTGCATCCCATCCATCGCTGAAAACCATGGGGGGATTTCCAAAACGTAGGAATATTCCATGTTTTCAAGCCATGTAAGCATTTCTCATTGACTAGAGTGGGACAAAGGATCAGGTCAGAGCAGGCCCAACTGATGCTCGCTGTATTTTGGGGCCTTTCTTTAAATCACAGCTAAATTGCAGAGCAGAGGGAAATGCAGCACACAACCACTCAAGGATGAAGAACTAAAATGCCCCCGTTTTTGCAGCAGTAAAGTGCCATCAGGAAGAAGCCATCCTGCCTAAATACAGATCTTTGAGAAATTAGAAGCAAAACGGCCTTAGTTCGGTTTTTATTTTAAAGAAAGGTAAGGAAAATACACCAAACCAGTAGTCACATTTTCTTTAGCAAAGGCTTCCTTTGTCATTTATCTTATTCTGAACTCAGTGAAGAGCTGTAGAGGCTGCTGTGAACTACAGCCAAGCAGAGCAGAGGGAGCAGAGAGCAAAGGGAAGGCTGCTGGCTGCCGAGCAGATGGAGCCATTAGCTGCACTGGGGGAATGCAGTCAAAGCAAGAGAGGATAACTAGCAGGGAGCATGGCTTTCAAGGGCATTTCACAGGAAACTGGGCTTTTTTTGGCCTTTTTTCTGTATTTCTAAATTGATATTTTACTGTAGTTCCTTTTTGCCTCTTCTGCTATTGCAAATCCTCGCCTTACTGTTGCAACCCTGGAAAAAGGGCTTATTTCTGAGCTACAAGGAAATGGGAAACCTTCTAGGTTTCTGGGCAAGAGTTCAAAATTATATTAAATATTTTAATAATAAGCCCTTTGAATTGAAGTGGTTTCCATGTTGCTGTCAGTCAAGACCCTGATTTGTCTGACCATCTGCTTATTTTCCTGGTCTTACTGTCATACATGACCAAACAAAAACCATGATCTTTTGAGGCACTGTGTGAAACTCCTGCTAATTTCAGTCTAGATTTATGAAGACTGTAGGTTTTGGAGATGGATAAAAATGTGTCTTAAAATTGGTAACTGAGCAAACGTGAAAACTCACAAATACAGTATTTCATACATGTATTCTGGCAATTTTTAAAAATTCTTATAAAACTAGTATATAAACAATTGCCCAGAATACAGCTCACGATGTATCTCAACATTTTCCAGCCAACCAGAAAGATATAGAAAGATGTAAAAACTTCCCAAATACAACCAGTCAGCTTCTTGAAGAGTAATCAAAAGTTTAGCCTGGTTTTACAACCATGAGAAACTTCTGCAGAAGAGTAGTTCATAGCACAACTTGTGCTGGGCAATTTTTCAGCAGACTGTGAACAAAATTTTGAAGTCATGCAACAATTCATCAAAGCAGATGCTGCACTGGGAAGCAGAATGCTTGGATCCTATTTCTAGGGCTAAGCAGACCTCAGATAAATCATTAACCTCTTTCCTCTCATGCCCATCATCTGTTTTGCTGCCACAATTGCAGTAATCACGTTTCTGCAGTGCCACCGGACCTTCCAAACTGCCCAGAGTGCAGATTTTCCAGTCTGACATTAATTGTAGCAGTAAACCAGGCATCAAGTGTTGATGCAAAGGCAAAAATGTGGAGCTGCCTGGCCATCAAAAAGCAATCTGAGGGTAAGCAATATATTTCACTTACTCTGTTGCAAGCTTTAGTGAGATAATCCTTTCTTATTGCCTGCACATACACAAGATGCAACACATAATAATCTTTCATCTTATGGCATTTACATATTCCTTAATTCAGAAAGTTCCAAGTTTTCCAAGTCCCTTTTTGCTATGTCAGTTTTACTGTGTGAAACGATGGAAATTATAGTCTCATATAGAAATGATGCCTACTGAAGAGATAAAATATTCTTTATTAAAAAATCAGAATTATATGAGCTTTGTCTATTATTTTCTAGTTAACTGTCAAAGCAACAACTGAAAAAAACATCTCAAGAGACATGTGAGATTATGAAGCTGAAATGGTGAGAACAGACAATGCCTCACAAGGTACAAGGATAGGTTTTGTCAGCATCTGGTTTTCTTCTTATCAGATGTTGAAATGAAGTATGAGATCTATCAAGAAGGGCAATACTGTCCAAATAAATAAATTCCAAAGTTGGCAGGTTATCACACCTGAGAAACTGTCTCACACACAAAAATCATCATATACAAGGAATAGAGAACTTTATATTAAAAAAAAAAAAAGAGGTGACATTTTTTAATTTGGGAAAGAACCTTCCAAATAATGGTATAGATGGCGGCTTGTAATATGTTGGCAGATACTATAGAGGTCTTTTTATAATTAACATAAGATGTGCCATTCTCCTGCCTGGGAAGAACCAATAGGAAAAACTCAGAGAGCCTTTCATGAACTTTTGCTGTTTGCCATCAACTTTTCTGAGGTTCCTCAGACCCAAGTGCTTGTTTTCCAGAGAGCGGATGCTTGTGACACACTGTGGAGTGTATTTATAAGTGACCACAGAGTTAGATAACAAATATGCACGTATTTGTCATCACATGAGGGAAAATAAATGCACTGGTTCTCTAAGCCAGGCATTTCAGCTTGCCTGGGAACAGGGAAAAGATTTAAGTTGACATAAGTGCCCAGGGCAGGAGCTGGATCCCACTGGGCTATCCCTGGTGCAGTGGTAGAAAGGCAAACATGGTAGAAAGGCAATCCTTGATCACAGCAAACCAGAGAACTGAGCTTTCTGGGGAACATGAGAAGGTACTACAATGAAAGGCAAAGTTAAAGAGAGTCAGGAGCTGGCTACAGCCTGCCTTCTTGGATGTGCATCCCTCCTACTCCAAGCTGGCAAGGGAATTTTTCTCCCAATATGGTGCAGCACATGCATGTTCTTCACTGCTGTAGTTTCCTGGAATAGCTCAGGATACAGTAACATACGGGGCATTGGCAAAGGAAAAGGGGAAAGAGGTCACATTCACAGGAATTCCAAACTATCTTAAGTTCTGTTTAAAATGCTTCAATCTATATTCCTGGAACTGATCCTGCTAATGAGAGAAGAAAAAGGCAACATACCAGCCACTTCTTATTTTTTAAATAACCCTTTTTGATATGTCACAAAGTATTGCCCTTTATCACAGCACAAGGATTTTGTCCTTTCAAATGATGTTGGCAGGGAAACATAAATTTAAGAAGTTGATATCACCTCCTAGTGAAAGGTTTCCCCATTACTTAGCCAGTTAACTACTGAATTCTAATTTCCTAATACAAGCTGTTAAGATATCGTATAACATTCAAGCACATATGGCATTGGTAATACATATTAGCTAAAACTACCTATTTTCTTCCTTTTTTATGAAAAATTGTTTATTTTTAAATGAAAATAAAAAAGTATTATCATGACTGAAAGAATAATGTAATCTGAGCAGTTTAGATCAAAATATACAACATTGTTTAAGTGGCTATCTACAGTTCAGGTATTACAGCAACTGAAACTTTTGTTTTTCATGTGATCATCATTTTGCAAAGGAAACTGCACGGAGAGAAGGTGGCTCCCTGGAGGATTTCCTCATTTCTACAAAGAGCTGATATCTTTCTTTGAGAATAATGTGAATACCACAAGAAGTTCATTTGAAAGAAATCTTGAAATTAAGTTGACACCAGTGTCTGGGAAAGCGATGTTTCCTGCCCTGTGCATAACACACCAGGGGAGTCCAGTGCCATAAAATGCCAGTCAAACACACCTCAAGGCTACTTCCCATTTCAAGCCTATGTTCTTGTTACATATATTGTATAGCTTCTAGTTATTATTATTAAGGTGCTGAAGCATCCCAACATGCAGGAAATGTGTAGCTGCCAGAGCAGCTAAGCTAGGACTGCCAGGTTATGTGGAATGCCCTGCTGGTGCCCTGCACACCCCCAGGGCCACTGCAGAAGTTTTCGGAGCTCCAGTCACACCCCTCAGCTGGCAGCAGGACTCCAGCACTGTAAGAGAAAGGTATAATGTTGCAGAAGTCAGAACACGTCACAAAAGAGATTTAGCTTTAGCATTCATGAATGTTTCTGATTTTCTGCTTCCCCATCTCCTAATTTCTCACCAGGAAAGAACATCAATAGTGACCATCACTGCAATTTCTTTCTATGTATGAGGAAAATATTCTTTCTAGAACAAATAGGTAGTAATAATATTTTTACCCTATAAAATCATAAAATGCAAGCATCTCCTTTATGAATTTTCATCATATTTAAAGAACTGAAAGTCACAGGAAAATGTGTGTGATGGAATCAGAAAAACATTAGAATATTGTTTGTGATAGGATGTAATAAGGAGCATGCTTTGGTGTAACTGCAAACATTTCTAGCAATAGTATTTATAAAGTAAGACAAAAACAGAGCTTCTAGACCCAGTATTTAAGAAAAGCTCCCAACTGCAGAAATAAAGAAACAATCAATTATTCCATTTTCTAAAGTACTAGAAATATCAAACCAACCTAGTAGCTCTTGGTTTTAATCTTTCATGTCAGAATTCAGAACCATGGAGAAAACAATTTGGTATTTGCTGACTTAGAATAATTGAGTTGTTTTTTTCTTCTGGAATCTGTGAAACAAGCTCTATTCACCTGCTTTGTTCCTGATCCCCATTTTAGGGTGGCACAATTTAAAAATGCATCCCTCACTGACAAATTCCTTCATGCTGCCAAGGAAGAAAGTTTCACTTTTCCTTTTTATTTTTCAGGTCTCCTTATGCTTATTTAATGAAGCATAAATATGGATGGCACCTTTCTCCTTACAGCAGTTGAAAACATACAAAACTACATTCAGCTGCAGAAGCACCTCTTTTTTAAGCAGCCTTTAAGTAGTTCCCTTGGTTTCCATTGTTTTTGCAGACACTTGGGCTTCCTTCACACCCGTGAGCCACACAGGCTCCAAAACAAACTCATCACATAAACTCATCACACTGATGTCAGAAGAAGTAAAAGAAAAAAACATGTGCAACACTCAGAACAGGAAAATCCTTTCATGTAGCAAAGACAAAGAAATATATATTATTATTATTTACTTCATTTCTCTTCTTATTAGCTGAGTGTTTCGTACTGACGTCTATATGTCATTCTTTCCTCTTTAACCATAATTAACCCTACAAAGAGTCTGTCAGGAGTACTTCAAAGTACTTGTTATTTAAAATATTGACCTCCACATAAGTTCTTATCAAGATATACCTAGAAGTACCAGAATTTTGTGCATGTGCTATTTTCTATTTCTGGATTAAAATAATGTTTCTTGACAGAAATATCTTGTCAAGTGTTTCCCGTGCCATTGCCATAGTACAGAAAATGAGGGTGCACCTAAAAAATCAGAAAAGAGTTTATCATAATATACAGCTGAAATGTCTGCAGG